AATTTAAATAAGCTGAAAAAAATAACTACAGAAATCTAATGAAAATAGACAGAGAAATATTTAAGTAGAAGAATTACGTAAATCATAAAATATTTTCTCTTTTTTTCTGCATCATAATTGCGGTACATTTCGGATATCCATGGCATTTTCGGCCAGATTTTACAAGCAAAATATCTGCTCATAAACGTCACTACATATCACCCTGCGTGTCGTCTTCGAGGAAATAAGGTTAAAGTCTGCGGGACAGGTACGCCATGTTTCATATATTCTGCAGGGTAAACTCTTACATTTTTGTTCAGATATATGTGTAAATATAGACACAGGCATTAAAGATGTATGCATGTAAGTATAAAATACAGATACGGACGGATATAAGTTTATGTATTTAAGTGTGCATTGGTACAACCACAACCCAGTTACAACCACAGCCCAGTCACAACCTCAACCCAGTCACAACCACAACCCAGTCACAACCACAACCCAGTCACAACCACAACCCAGTCACAACCACAACCCAGTCACAACCACAACCCAGTCACAACCACAACCCAGTCACACCCACAACCCAGTCACACCCACAACCCAGTCACACCCACAACCCAGTCACAACCACAACCACAACCCCAAAAACACCCAACCCCATCACCCCCCCTTCTTTCTCCCCCTTCCTCTCAAACCCTATCCTTCCAGGCTGGTTTGGTATCGCCATGATGACTATCTTCTGCGTGAGTGTAGCTTTCTCGGGCACTCGTCTCGGCCGTTGCTGGACTATCCTGGAAGAGAGGTATCCTGAATATTCGCAGCCAGTGAGACAGCCATACATGGAGATCGCATATAGGTCGATGGGTTTGGCTGGGAGGTAAGGTTGATGGTTTGAGATTCAGAGTCTGTTTGTTTGGATGATAGGTTTTATTGTTGTTGTTTATTGTTGTTGTTCTTATGGTTTGTTGTTATTATCATTTTCATTATTATCAGTATCATTATTATTATTACCGCTATTATTTTTATTGTTATTATTGTTGCAGTTAGCATTATCATTATCACTATTATTGTTTTGCTATCTTTTTCATTATTATCACTGCCATTATAATCATCATTATGATTATTGAATATATATACATGTATGTATATTGACACAGATAGACCGACGAACCAAATAACCAAATAACTATTCCCACATATCCACACCCAACATTAAGAAATGACAAATAGACAACCAGACAACGATATCCACATATCCACACACACCACACTTACCAAAATAAATAAATAAATAAGTAACATAAAAATAAAACTCTCCTTTTTTCCAGACGCGCCGCCTTAGCATCGGTAGTGATAAACTTATACGGAAGCACGACGGTCTTCATCATCCTAATTTCGCAAATGATTTCGTCCCGGGAAAGTGTTCTCTCTCTATGCGAACTTGTGCTCATCGTTGGATTTCTCATTATCCCTCTCACCTGGTTGGGAACGCCGAAGGATTTCTGGTGAGTGGGGGAGAGAGGGAAAGGAGTGGGAGGGGTGAGTGGAGGACGGGACGGGACAGACAAAAACAGATAGATACATACAAAGATAGAAATATAGACAGAGAGAGGAAGATAGATAAAAGATAATAAGAGAGAAAAAATGGAGGCAGAGAGAACGAACCCACAAAACATACCCTATAAACCTGAAATTTTAAAATTCGAAGCACAAGTGAACAAGAGAAACAATTAAACTGTTACAGTGTACTAACAAACATTTATTTTTTTTGCCCCACTCGTTACTGCAGTCCAAGGCTATATTTAGATTTTGATTTTAATACACCCATGCACGTTTTCGGGATAAAAGTGCTGGACGAAAAGAAATGGGAAAAAAGGAACATAAAGGCGAAAAAGAAATTTAAAAAGCGTAACAAGATAAATAGAAAAAGAAAATTAATATCCTTAGAGTATAAAGAACTTGGGTTCCCTTTATTTCTGTACGCCGTTTGTATTTTAAATTCAGATTCAGTTATACTCCTGACTTAAGGAAGAAGATATAAAAAAAAATAATGAACGCCACAATTCTCTTTTATTTTTCGACGTTATGAACTACGTCACCAGTATATATACTTTTATTTCCATCATATTGTGTAGTATAATGCATATAACAACAGATCCATAGAATAACACGAGTATACATATTTCAGAAATATGATGTAGATATTGTTTGGTTACTAACTTAACGACATAACTATAGCTAATGTAAATCATTCATTAGAAATAAAGCATATACATTTACACACATACCCCCCCTAAAAAAAAAAAAATATATATATATATATATATATATATATATATATATATATATATATATATAAACACCCATGTATACTGCAAAGACTCTCTCTCTCTCTCTCTCTCTCTCTCTCTCTCTCTCTCTCTCTCTCTCTCTCTCTCTCTCTCTCTCTCTCTCTCTCTCTCTCTCTCTTACACACACACACACACTCTCTCTCTCTCTCTTTCTCTCTCTCTCACACACACACACACACACACACACCTCACGTGTATTTACACTCTCCACTCCCCACGTCCCCAGGCAAGCTTCCGTGTTGGCAGTGGTGTCAACGGTGGTGGCGTGTATTGTCATCATCGTCCAGATCCTGTTGGAAGAACCTAACCTTCCTGAGCCCGTGTTCAACAATCCTACAGTGTCGTCCTTCTCCCTGGGTTTCGGTGCCATCCTATTTTCCTTCGGCGGGTCAGCTGTGTTCCCGACCATCCAGAATGACATGCAGGATCGGACACAATTCTGGAAGAGTGTCGTTGTGGGTTTTGCAGGTGGGTGGGAAGTGGGAAAGAGGCTTTATTAGGGTTGTTGGGATTGGTGGGTCGTTTTAATGCGGTTTTTTTTGTTGTTGTTTTTCTTTTTTGTATTGTGAGTAGTTTATGGTTGGTGTTTTGCTTTTCAGAGTTTTGTTCTTTACTTCTATTTTTTTACTCTCTCTCTCTTTCTCTATCGTCCTCTCTCTCTCTCTCTCTCTTTCTCTCTCTCTCTCTCTCTCTCTCTCTCTCTCTCTCTCTCTCTCTCTCTCTCTCTCTCTCTCTCTCTCTCTCTCTCTCTCTCTCTCTCTCTCTCTCTCTCTCTCTCTCTCTCTCTCTCTCTCTCTCTCTCTCTCTCTCTCTCTCTCTCTCTCTCTCTCTCTCTTTCTTTCTCTCTCTATCCTTTCAAGAACTGCCTTTCCTTTGTCATAAAAGTTTTATAATTGGCTAATGATACAAAAAATACATAATTAAGACAATTATTTGCACTTTTTCGGTGAATAAAAGTAATACCAACTGTTATAATGGGAGTCAAATTCATTATTTACAAAGCAGATTATTTGTTTGGCAAGTAAAGGTCTATTTCGTATTCATGTTTGTTTTTTTATTATATATAAAATCTTACAATAATGTATAACAATCTTGGTCTATTGTCTTTTACGATATATACATATACGTGATAATTATTTATTTATTATAACACAACCGCCTCGGTATTACATAACCATGTATTATTTATTAGTATGTAGCCTGTAATGCAAAGTAACTATAATTATTTAGTAGTTTGAGAAACAATGGAAATTTTAAAAGATTGATGCTCACCTTGTTACCGGGACTTTTTTATAATTAACAATGTTAATATTGCCTAACAGTTCCGAATCGGTAATTAGTTTAAACAGCGAGGGGAAAGAAATGTTGAAATCCATTTTTCTCTAAAAGTTATGTTAATCACTCAAAAATATTAAAAGATATTAAAGGATTTAAAAATACATACATGTAGACCAAACATTTTTAATGCATACACACACCAACTTAAATCACATTAGAAATATACAGGTATATGAAAATATAATATTCTCACTCTTGTATATATTCATCGTGAATGAAACACATTTAGCAAGGAAAAGAAAAATGACTCAAAACCACTCCATGCGTTAATACTTTTGACACGAATACTCTCTCTCTCTCTCTCTCTCCCTCTCTCTCTCTCTCTCTCTCATTCTCATTCTCTCTCTCTCTCTCTCTACCTCTACCTCTACCTCTACCTCCTTCCCTCCTTCCTTCCTTCCCTCCCGCCTCCCTTCTACTTTCTACCTTCTCCCCCATACCCACCCCCTCCCTCAATCCCTCCCTCCTTCCTTTTCCCTGCCTCCTTCCCATCTTCCCCATCCCTCCTCCCACACTCTCCCTCCCTCCCTTCTCCCTCACTCCCTCCTTCCTTTTCCCTCCCTCTCTCCCTCCTCTCTCCCACCCCTCCTATCCCTCCTCCCACACTCTCCCACCTTCCTTCCCACAGCAACTAACCCTTTTTACTAACCCTTCTCTCTCCCTCTCTCCCGCACAGTGATCCTATCCCTGTATGTCCCCGTGGCCTCTGTGGGCTACGGCATCCTCGGGCAAGAAGTCGAAAGCAACATCTTGCTCTCTGTACCTAAGGGCGTGGCTGTTAATATCGCCATCATTCTGGAAATTATCAATCTACTCAGCACTTTCATCATCAGCTTCAACCCCGTGGCTCAGAGTCTTGAGGATATTCTGAACGTTCCTAATAGTGAGTGGTCGATGCGGTTATCTTTTAGGATATATACATGTACATTTAGCAAGGGGGGAAAATCTGTTTTTTTGTTGGAATTTTTGTGTTCTTTGTTTATGAATTTGTTTATGAATCTAGTTATTTATCCATTTATCCATTAATCTCTCTATTCATATTTACCTTATATGTATTTACTGATACTTTCACGTACTGATTTCAACCTTTTCATCATTTTTATCTATTTATTCATACCTTGGAAAATTGAATTCTGTTTTGTTCAACTTTGGGGCTGTGTGTGGGGGGGGGGGATTTTCTGGGGTAATCGTGATAAATATTACGCTAATATGGTGATAATTGTACTGATAATAATAAGAGTAATACTTATAGTGATACGAAGGATAGTAAGTAATGATAATGATGATACTAGTAATAGAAGTAGCAGTAATGATGATAATACTGATAAT